ATAACATTTTTCACAGAATGAGAAAAAACAATCCCCAAATTTGCACGGAACTACAAAAGACCCTGAATAGTCAAAGCAGTCCTGAGAAAGAACAAAGCTGGAGGCATTCCACTTCCAGATTTCAAACTATACTACACAGCAGTAGTAATCAAAACAGTATGGTATTGATGTAACAACAGACACACAGACGATTGGAACAGAATTGAAAGCCCAGAAATAAAGTCTTGCACGTATGTGGTCAACTAATATTTGACAATGGAGCCAAAAATGCTCCATGGAGAAAAGCTATTCTCTTCAATATATGGTGTTGGGAAAACTGGATAACCAGGAGAATGAAATTGGACCCCTATCTTACACCACTCACAAAAATTAACTCAAAATGCATTAAAGACTAAAACATAAGACTGAGATTGTAAAACTCCTAGAAGAAAACATAGGGAAAAATCTCTTTGACATTGGTCTTGGCGATGATTTTTCGGATTTGAAAAAAACAAACAATCTGATTAAAAAGTGCGCAGAGGATCAGAATAGACATTTTTCCAAAGACGACATACAAATGGCCAACTGGTACATGAAAAGGTGCTCAACATCACTAATCATCAGGGAAATGCAAATCAAAACCACAATGAGATATCACCTCACACCTGTTAGAATGACTATCATCAAAAAGACAAGAAATAACAACTGTTGGCAAGGATGTGGAGAAAAGGGAACCCTGTGCACTGTTAGTGGGAATGTACATCAGTGCAGCCATTCTGGAAAACAGTATGAAAGTTCCTCAAAAAGTTAAAAATAGAACTACCATATGATCCAGCAATCCCATTTCTGTGTATATATTCAATGGAAATGGAAACAGGCTCTTGAAGAAATATCTATACTCTCACGTTCGTTGCAGCATATCCAAGATATGGAAACAACCTAAGTGTCCATCAACAGATGAATGGATAAAGAAAATGTTGTATTTATAATATACCAGAATATTATTCAGCCCTGAGAAAAAGGAAATCCTGCCATTTGCAACAACATGGATGGATCTTGAGGGCTTTATGCTAAGTGAAAAATAAGTCAGACAGAGAAAGGCAAATATTGTATGATCTCACTTATATGTGGAATCTAAAAAAGCCAAACTCATAGAAACAGAGAGTAGAAATGTGGTGGATAGGGGCTAGGGGGTGGGGGAAATGGAGATATGTTCGTCAAAGGGTATAAACTTCCAGTCATAAGACAAATAAGTTCTAGAGATCTAATGTACACCATGGTGATTATAGCTAATAATACTGTATTATATACTTGCAAGTTGCTAAGAGAGTAGATCTTAAATGTCCTCACCACAAAAAAAGAAATGGTAATTATGTGACATGATGGAGATGATAGCTAATGCAATGGTGGTGATCATTTGGTAATATATACGTATATCAAATCACCATGCTGTACCCTTTAGACTAACACAATGTTATATGTCAATTTTATCCCAATAAAGCTGGAAAAATTATTTTTGGATGCATTAATCACAGTTATTTTAACATTTACATCTGATAACTCTGATATCTGGATCACTTGTAGGTTTGTTTCTATTATCTTCTTTTTCTCTTGATTCTGTTTTTGGTATGCATGTTAATATTTGTTTGAATACTGGATATTGTAAATGAAATACGGTAGTGGCTCTAGATAATATTATTTTCCTTCAGAAAACACTTACTCTATGCCCCAGCAGTGGTAAGGAATAAGAATAGGTCTCTAATTTGATCAGGGCTGTGGGCCCTGGAGGGTGAGCTCCGCACTTTGTAAGGACTGCTCTGCCTGTGGGGCACCCCCTCTTTTAGGCTATGGCTTTCCAGTCAATACCTTGGAGTATTTGTCAAACGTGGTCCTTCTAGGCGGGTCATGAACTCCAAGTATTATTTCCCTAGCATACAAATCCCTGATAAATTGCATTTCAGATCCTTTTGCTTGATTTCTTTATCTGTAGTCTTGTGCTGCTCAAGAATCGGCAAGCACCGGGGAGGATGGGCAGGAAATAGACGTGGTGTGTGTTTCACTTTCTTTACCTCCCTGCTCCCAGGGATCTGGACCCCTCACATTCTGTCTTGGCCAGCTGGAACTCCACGTGCTGTCTCCTAGTCCCGAGATACTGCTGAAAGCTCTATGGCTTCTCCAGACTTCGAGGTCATCCTCAGCCCAGCCCCCCAAGCCTCTCAACCTGTGCTGCTGAAGCTGGCCCACGGCCAGGGGCGGCGCTCTGCAGGACACGGGCTCACCGCACAGAGCTCTCCCTCCTCTGGGACCTGGGACCTGGGACCTGCCTCTTCTGGTGCCTTAACAGCCCTTTTGTTTTGTTTTGCACTTTTGATGTATTTTATTTTTGGTTGCCCCTGGTGGGAGTGTTGGTGTGCTGCAAGATCCTCTGTCGTACCTGGAAGCAGACATCCTCCAGAGTAGATATTTTGACCAAGGTTTACCTGGCTCAAAATTTCTGAATCTTTCTACTCCAGCAGAATTCAATATCTAATTATCATGCAAATATGCCCACAAATAATAAAAATCTGTTGATAAGAGATGCATGCATACAAACACATAAACTCATACTTCACATAAGTTATACCCAGGATTTCCTGTTTTTATTGCGTGCATCAGAAAACAGTTGCTCTGGATACTTTTGAGATAGTGGTCTAAGTCCCAATTTAAAAACAAGTAGGAGAACAACATTACCACATGAAGGCCTGGCTTTTCCTATGTCCTGGGTGGCAACCAGCTTTCACAGACGTGCAGGGAGAACCAGTCTCCTGGAGGTCCATGGCTACTGCCTGGGGGCTCTGGCGTGGTCACTCAGGATGGTTATGAGTACATCCTCGCCATATAGCCATAGCTATGTCCTTGGAGTGCTTTCTGCCTTCCAAAACACCTTACACCGTGGAACCCTCCCCAGGTTTGTGAGGCTGGGCGGGTCTGCGGAGCTGGGTGGAGGGGCGCTTCAGCTCTCAGCACCTGGAGCCACATTTGCCTGGGGAACACCTGCCTTTTCCACTCTGTATCTCCGTCTTCTCCTGGGGACTTGGGCCTGCGACTGGCAAAACCCCCCACTGTCTCTACCCCGGCCCTCCCTGCCCACCTGCCGTCCCGGGGCTCTTCTCTCTGGCTCCCTTCAGGCCCGCACAGTCTTGGGAGCCTCTGTGGGCCTCACCTCTCACCACTGTCTCCCCTGGGCCACTCCCTCCAGCCACACTACATTTCTTGGAGTTACCTGAACCTATCAAGATCTCTCGAACCTGCACTACAACACTGAACCCTCAATGAAAACACTCCTCCCTCCCTTCCTGCCTTCCCTGCTGTCTCATTGTTGAAGACACCACCTCAGGGAGGCCTTCCTGGATCCCCTGCTGGGGAGCTGGAGATGCTCCTAGCTGCAGACCCACAGCCGCTGTCAGTCACAGTGCCCCCTCCCTGGCTGCCATTTATGGTCTGTTTGCATCTCGCCTGGGTCTCCTGCAGTCCCCTCACCCCTGCCCAAAGAGTGGCCCTTCCTGCGGGATGGTTCCTACAGGATTCGACTCCAGGTTCTGGGCTTCTTGTCCACAGCTCTAGCCTCACACCTACTTCCTTTCAGCCCCCAGGAGCTGATCTGCTGCCCAGGGCCCTGGACCTGGTGGCTCGAGGTTGCTGGAGAGGTTCCATTTAGTCTCAGGGGAGAGCCTGGGCCGAGGCAGAGAGGCCAGGAGAATCAGCGAGGAGGGCATAGGGTTGAGGGGAAGGAGCAGAGCCATGCCTGCAGACACAGGGGCTCCATTTGACCTAGCGGCCTTGGGGCTGAGAAGGAAAGGGACATGGAGGGAGATGGAGGAGGGGGATGCAAAGGCTTCCCACAGGCAGAGCTAAGGAAACTTCATTGCCAGCAGCACCAATGACCCACTGGGGCCCTGGGTGTCCCAGGGTGGACATCTTGGCTAGGACGTAGGTGAGCTCTGCTGTTAATGAGCCAGTTTTCTGATGTTCTTCTGCCAGTCCCTGCTCTAGCTGGGGCCTTCAGCTGGCCTCTTGCTACCTCTGCTCAGGGCAGAGGGCCCAGACACAAGACTCCCTCGAGGGACCCAGGCCACCCCTGCCCTGATCTCTGGTGTTAGAATTAGAACCACCACCCCTGGGAGCAGGAGAATAGCAGAGGGGTGTTTCCTGAGGAGAAGGGTGGTGGGCCGGCAGGGGGGCGGGGAGGGGACAGAATAGTCTCCTCAGGATCGCAGGTCTGTCCAGGGCCCAGCAGGAAGTAGATGGCACGGTCCATCAGAATGTTAGGAGGGTGTTTTAATGACGGATATTTACAAGGCACAGACACAGGGAAACCACAAGAGAGAGTGTGGTCTCCTGGGCCTCAGAACTTCGGAGCTGTTAACCCCCCCAGGTAGGAGGAGGTCGGGGGAGGGAGAGTTACCAGAACCCAGAGATGAAAGAGCTTCTGACACAACTGTGCCCTCTGTTCAGTTGTGGGAGACAGGCGGCCTGCCAGGTCCCTGCTGAGAGAGAAGCAGGTGTTCTCACCCTGACCTCCTACAGGCCCTCGCCTCTGACCCTCTGACTTCCTGCTGGCCGAACCCAACCAGGAGCCAAGGTCAAGGGGGACATGTTGATAGTCTGTACATGTCAGGGAGCAGGGGGGCAAAGAGTGGAGAGCAGGTCTGCAGAGGGCCGATGGCAGCTGTGGGCAGAGGGCACTTTGTGCATCAGGCTGGGGGCCCTGGAGCTCTGCTGCCACTGTGTCCAGGGCCCCTGGCCACGGTGAGTCTGCTCACATTGTGGGGCTGATGGGGGGCCCTTCTGAGTCCTGGCCCTGGATCCCACTCTGCTCTGGATGTCAGACCCCGGGAGCCAGAGGTGGGACCCCAGCCTTTCTACCCCCAGGGCAGACCCAGCTTTCCCTCCATGGGAGCCTAGATTCCTGCAGGGGTCTCCTTCCCCAGTACCTCTTCTGCCTTCTTCTTCCTCCTGTGCCAAAAAATGTAACATCTGGGCCAGGAAACAGGGTGGAGATGGGTCAGTCAAGGAGTAGGTGTGTCTTCCTTGGGGACGCTGGGGCTTGGAGAAGTCACTCACCCACCTCCGGCTATGGCTGCCAGGGGCAGAGCAATGCTGAGGCTCACAGCCCACACGAGGGTCCTCTGGGTCACGGCTGGGGGTGTGAAAGGGGGAGGCAGGTGTTTGAGGAGCAGTTAGGGCCGTCTGGGCTCAGAGAGCAGGCCACATTCTTCCCTTCTTTTATTTGCTCACTTAGTCACTTGTCTGCAAACACTTACTGAGCACCTACTGTGTGCCCAGCATACATTAGAGATGAGTGAGACATGGTCCCTGCTCTCTAGGAGGGAGACAAGCAAACAATTACGATGTGGTGTCCAAGGGAAGAGGGCAGGACAGGGCAGAGGAGGAGGGCCGATAAGCCTTAGGTGGGGGGCGGTGGGAGCTGGTCGGGGAAAGCTTCTTAGGAAACAGGACTTCTGGCTGGACTTTGCAAGACAAGTAGGAGTTCAGACAGTCAAGAGCCAAAACTGTTGCAGGCAGAGGACACAGTGTCCAATGATGGAGCATGAAGCTGTCCACCGTGTCAGCAGCTCAGTGTGGCTGGGGAGTCAGGGGTAGTGGGAGGTCAGCATGGCTGCTCACACGGGCCTCCTGAGGAGGGTGGGCTTTGTCTGGGGCAATTGGGAGCCACTGAAGGTTATAAACAAGGAGTGTTGTAGGTAGATTTGCTCCTTGAGAAAGAGTTCTTTGGTTGCTGAGTAAGATATGGCCAGGAGGGGCAGGGAGGCCAGTTAGGAGATGTTGCCATAATCCAGGTGAGAGTTGAGGATGCTTGAAGAAGAGTGGTGGATGTTGGCATGAAAATCTGGCAACATATTTAAGAATCATTTAGCAAGACTTGGTGATTACATGTACTGAGTAAGGGGGAGGGAGATTCCTGGTTTAGGAGGTTGAGGGCTTGAGTGGGGCCATTTGCTGAGAGGGGCCCTGAGGGAAGAGCAGATTTGGGGGGTGGAGATGGGTTTGGACATGTCTCCAGGCATGCTGGCTTTGAGGGCCCGAGGGACCTCCAGGGGAGATGTCTTAGAAGCAGGTGTCTCTATTGCTCTGAGGCTGGACATGTGGAATTGAGACATCCTGGAAGCTGCTACTTTCACCAGTGAGGATGGAGAGCAGGAAGAGGTCAGGGCTGGGCAAAGGAGGAAGACAATCCAGGTAGAGACAACAACAGACTCAGGTGGGGAGAGGGGGAGGTTGGTGGCCAGATGGGCCGCTGGCCACTGACCTGGGCAGAGAGTGGGGTCTTTGCAGGTGAGGAAGTGTATCCCGCAGTTGGCACAGTTGATGACCTCCAGTGTGGAGCGTAGGTCTGAGAGAGGATGGGCAGGAGCCTTAGAGAGGGCCATGTGCCCCTCACACTTTGCCCACTCATCCTCAAAGATACTCACCACAGGATGTGTTGCAGGCTGCCCGGGAGGGTGAGATGGTAGAGAAACTGAGGTGCTGGGGAGGCAGACAGAGCTGGGAGGGGTCGGGGTGTGAGCAGGAAGTGGAGCTGGGGGAAGGTGTGGACAGGTGCCCAGTATGTGGGCAGAGATGGGGGCTTATGGGGAGGGACCCGGGAGGGGGCCACAGATTTGACTCTGCTCTCCTCCAGGCTTGAGGGAGGTAGAGGGCTGGGTGGTGGGCAGGGCCCAGCCCCACCTCTCACCCTTCTCCTTCAGCTCCTCAGATATCTTGTTCAGCCTCTCGGAAAACAGCTGCTTGTGGACACGAATCTCTTCCAGAAGTAACGGTTTATCTGGGTGGAGTAGGAGGGAAAGAGTGCTTTTATCACCCACATTTCATAGGTAGAATCAATTACATAACTTTCTCAAGGCTGGGAATTCAAACTGGGTTTTTCAAACAGGAACTCCGTAGAACACACAGAGAGATGCTGCATCTGTCTCCCCACCCCAGGCCAAGAGGGTCCTCGGGAATGCTTTGGAGGGCCAGACTTTGTTAACCCAAGCCCGGCAGCCCTGGGACACTCAGTTTCCTCACCATCTCTCAACTTCTTAATGGCTTGATCTATGTGATTGAATAATTTGGCTGTTTCTTCCTCCAAATGATCCTGATCTGAGAATGGGATGTGGGATGAAGGGAAGTCAGAGGAGGAAGACCCCACGCCAGGTGCAGGGCTAGCCTCCATCCCTGGTCTCCTGGCTGCACCTCACCAAGATACCAGGCTTCAGGGAAGTCATGAGCCTCCAGGAACAGAGAGTGGAGGCTTTGTGAGAGCTCTGCAGGTGGCCCTGGAGTGCCCCAAAGAATCTGCAGGTCATAGTCTATCAACGCAGGCAGTTCTGGCCAGCAGAGGAGACAGCTCTTCCCATCGGCATCGGGCAGGAGACAGCTGAGCAGGAGAAGCAACATCTTCTGGGGTCTTCCCTCTGTGCCCTCCTCACCCTGCCTGGCAGTTCTACATGGAATGTTTGTGCCCTGTCCCCCTGGGAACCACATTCTCTTTGCAGAACAAAAGTAAACTTCGCAGGGTAAGGTGAGGGCCAGCCATGGCATGAACCCAGGCTTTGGTGTCAGACCCAAGTTGGGGCCTTGATATCTTCCTCTGAAGATCGGGTCACTGATGCTCATCAGGGAGGATTCTTGTGAGGATCTGAGAGACGGCTGTGCTGCCTTGTGGCTGGTGCTCAGTGTGGCATTTACCACGCATAGAATAGTTCAACAGGCTGAAATTTGAGATGTCAGGAGAAAGCAGCACAGAGAGAGGGTCACTTGTGTAAAGATCCTGGATTGCTTTTCCACACAGAAGTGGTCAGCCAAGGGGAAACTTATGGAACATACATCTTTTTCACGGCTCATGTAAACTAGCAGCTGTCTTGTGCCTGGCGAAGCCAGAGGGACTCAGACAGCCACTCCCACCACAGTGTAGACAGAGAGTGTAGACAGAGTTCCAGCCAGTGAGTGGAAGTACAGAGAGCCATCTTTGGGGCAGCAGTTCTTATGTGCAACACGCATTGAAGAAAATCAAAACTCTGTGCTCTTTAGTAAAGAAAAAGCCAGTGGGATCCTTCTCAGCTGGTAAGATCTCCTTACCTCAGCTGGTAAGCTTTGTCCTTCCATGCTATGCTTCCAACCAGCTTCCGAGTGCCTCAGGCTGGATTATGGGCAGCCAAAAGCCATCAGGCATTTGAGGAATGCTTCTTACATGAACAAGAGACCAAAACAATAGCGAGAATTCAAAACAAAAACCGCAGGAAACGGAAAGAGTACAAAGATGTGGTGGGAAGCAGAAGAAAACTTAGAACCCCACTACAATTAATAGACAAGGTGTTGCTTTCCTCAAACCAGAAGAGGCTGCTGTGCAGAAGAAAAAGTCAGAGAATAAGAAAGAGTTATTGGAGATTAAAAAAATGATAGGAGGAATTTAAAAATTCCATGGAAGTGTTGGCAGATAAAGTTTCAGACAGCTCCCAGGTGGCAGTACAAAAAGACAGAGATGAGAAATAGAAAAGAAAAGGTAAAATTAGACAATCAATCCACAAAGTCCGACATCCAGCTGATACAAGTTTCAGAAAGAAAGAACAGAGAAAATGGAGGGGAGGAAATTATTTCTAATAGAAGTTGGGTGGGAAGTATGTACCGGAACAGGGATGTGGTGGAGAGGCATCAAGATTTGCTAGAAGAAATGGCAGTTGAGTTGGTAAATTCAGGCTGCCCCAGTCAGATGGGCTCTGAGATGAGAAGATGAGTCGGAGTGCTGCAGAGCTGTTGCTCTCCCCCTTGCTTTGGGCAGTTTGGGGTTAGGGAATTAGCCTGCTTTTTTCTGCTCAGGCAATGTTTCTGGAAAGGAAGGCCCTGATTCCCTGGAACCAAGGCTGGGAAAAGCCAGTGCTCCCTCCCCTGATGCCCTCGGTAGCGTTCAGAGCTACAAAAGCATGCAAGCCTGCTGCTTACATTCACCATCACCTCTTAGGTTGCCCCACTCAGCCTCTGTGTGGGGGAGGAGAGAACAGGGATCTGATAGAAATGCTTCAAGAAACAAATTTTAGAACTGAAAGACATGAATTTCCAGGTTGAAAGGGCCCATTGAGAAGGCATCCAGTGCTAGGAATAAGAAAAACAGAGAAAGAGCCAGCCCTGATGACCTAGTTGTTAAAGTTTGGAGCTCTCTGCTTCCATGGCCCAGGTTCAGTTCTCGGGTATGGAACCACACCACTTGTCTGTCAGTAGCCATACTGTGGTGGCAGCTCACATAGAAGAACTAGAAGGACTTACAACTAGAATATACAACTATGTACTGGGGAGAAAGAAAAAAAAGAAAAAAAAAAGTGGAAGATTGGCAACAGATGTTATCTCAGAGCAAATCTTTCCCAGAAAAAAAAAGAGAAAAAAACAGACCATGTACAATGGACCAGTAATCAGAGTTCCTTCAGCCTTCTCAAGAGCCATATAAAAAAGTACTAAACAATGGAGCAATGCTTTCACATTCTGAGAAAAATATTTCCATCTTAGAATTCTATACTCAGTAAAACATCAATCAAGGAGGAAGGAAGGCTAATGCCATTTCAGCCAAGCAAGGTTTAAAATTGACCTCTATTAGCTTTTCTCAGAAAGCTATTGGAGGATGCACTCCAAATAAATGAACAAATCAAGCAAGAAAGATGATGACATGGAAGTCATGAAATAGAGGATCTAATGGTGCAGAAAGGTGAAGAGAACTTCCATGGTGACAGTCAAAGGACACCCCAGGATGACAAACAGTCCAAACTGTTCGACTCTCCCTGGGTGGAGAAAGGTCTGGAGTGGGCAGCCTAGGTCAGCTCCCTCTGGGCATTGGGTTCCTTTCCTGGCTTACTTTGGTCTCATTTATTCACTTCTGCTTTTCTCTGGCAGGAATAGTCTTTTCTCAAATTAGGAGCAGTAAGGTCCAAGACTCAGGCTTTTGTTTTGGGGGTGAAATGATCAGAGTAGGTTTTTAGAGTGCTTTGGCATTAGGCCATGAGGAAACCCCTGCTGAGGTAAAGAGAGTACCCTACAGGATGCAGTCATACTCGATGGAATTCTACCTGAGGTTTGGGACTAAAGCCCTACAGTGGGATAGAGTCTTCTCTTTCCTTGATTTATGCTTTTCCTTTGGGAGACATGTGAGGAGGGCAGGGCTCCAGTGTAACTTTGTACCTGGCCCAAATCAAATCACCCCCACATGCTTAGCATCAATCGGCTAAAGTGCTGTCGACTCTGTAAAGTGGCATTTGAATGTAGAGTCACAGAGGCTGTGGGCTGGGGGAGCTCTGAATCCTATGACTGCCTATGGTTGGTAGCTCTCCCTGTTTGTTTTCTAGCCTCGTTTGCCTTGATTTCTCCTCTTATTTCTAGTTTAATTCAACTGTATGTCGTGTACTTGGAATAAACTAGAAATTTTACCTGAATTAGAAGCCTAAATAACAAAGGTAGCACTTCCATTTCCCGGCATCTTGGGATGTTGGAACCTCCTCTTTGTGTTGAGACCACATCCATCTTGTGCTTCCAGCCATTTGGGCACGTCTAATACCTCTAACGCAGGACAGCTCACGCAGTATGTGAAGACAGAAATCAAGCTGCTTCTTTTGAGGCCAAACATCATCTCTGTTGCCAAGAGTTCCTTTAGGCTCCCATCTTAGAAGATGCTTTCATGCCTCCCCCAGATTCTTTATTGTTTTATTTTATTATTGCGGTAACATTGGTTTATAACAATATATAAATTTCGGGTGTACATCATTATATTTAGATTTCTGTATAGATTACGTCATCTTCTCCACCAAAAGACTAATTACACTCCATCATCACACACATGTGCCTAATTGTCCCTTTTGCCCTCCTCCCCCCCCCGCCCCTCTGGGAACCACCAATGCAATCTCTGTCTCTATGTGATTGATTGTTGTTGTTTTTATCTTCTACTCATGAGTGAGATCATATGGTATTTGACTTTCTCCTACTGACTTATTTCGCTTAGCATAATACCCTAAAAGTCCATCCATATTGTCACAAATGGCTGGATTTCATCGTTTCTTATGACTGAGTAGTATTCCATTGTGTGTATATACCACATCTTCTTTATGCATTCATCCCTTAATGGGCACCTAGGTTGCTTCCAAGTCTTGGCTATTGTGAATAACGCTGCAATGAACACAGGGGTGCATGTATCTTTACGCATTGGTGTTTTCAAGTTCTTTGGATAAATACCCAGCAGTGGAATAGCTGGATCATATGGTAGTTCTATTCTTGATTTTTTGAGGAATCTCCATACTGTTTTCCATAGTGGCTGCACCAGTTTGCACTTCCACCAGCAGTGTATGAGAGTTCCCTTTTCTCCACATCCTCTCCAACACATGTTGTTTCCTGTCTTGTTAATTATAGCCATTCTGATGGGAGTGAGGTCATATCTCATTGTAGTTTTGACTTGCATTTCCCTGATAGTTAGTGATGTTGAACACCTTTACATGTGACTGTTGGCCATCTGTATATCTTCTTTGGAGAAAGATCTGTTCAGATCTTTTGCCAATTTTTTAATTGGGTTGTTAGTTTTTTTTGTTGTTGAGATGTATGAGTTCTT